CCCCAAAGAAGTGGTTTAAATTTAGTAACAAGAACCCCACTTTCCTCAGTCTCCTCACCTGCTTGTGCAGCCAGCCCCTCACCACCACTGGAACGTTGGGGTTCCTCCGAATGGCCTGGTCCCTCTTCCCAAAGCTGTGGACTTTATTGCTGGACTTTATCTAGAAAAAAGCAGACTCAAACTCTAGCACCAGGAGGGGCCTAAGGGAGCATTAAAAAAGCACTTGTATGATAGAGATGAGGCTCTCTCTGCCTTACTCTAAGCGGCAGTGCGCTTAGATCCTAAGAACAACAAGGACACAGGGAATGGATGTGCACATGGCCACAGCATCCTAATTAAAAGTCGAGTCTGAGCCCTCCCTGGTGGCGCAGCGGGTTAAAGCACAGCACTAAGAAGCTAAAGCCACTGCAGCACAAGTTCAATCCCTGTCCCAGAGGTGACACACATGGTGCAGCAGACCTCTCCTGACGTGCTCCCTGCTCCCCTCAGCAGTGTACTTCGTTGATCTGCCTGTTCTACTGCCCACTCTGTCTCTGGTGAATCTTCCTCTGGCCTGTACCCCAGTTCTGTATGCATAAATAAATAAATCTTTAAAAAAAAGGGGGGGGCCCTTCCTGGTGGCGCAGTGGGTTAAAGCACAGTACTAAGAATCAAAAGCTACTTCTGCATGAGTTCGATACCCGCCTTCCCTGAAGGTGACCACATGGCGTGGCAGACCTCTCCTGACACGCCCACTGCTCCCCTCAGCAGTGTACTTCATTGATCTGCCTGTTCTGCTCTCCACTCTGTCTCACCCTCCGCATCTCTGGCCCGCTGGCCAGTACCCCAGTTCTGTATGAATAAATAAATCTTTAAAAAAAAAAAAAAAGGCGAGTCTAAAACGTAGTGTGTTTCCCTTCCAGGTCACAGAGAGAACTTTAAATAAAGAGATTTTTCAATCAACTTTCAACAGCAGCTGTTGGCCCTACTATAGTCTATGGCTTTCTGGAGCACGGCAATTTTTTTGGTTGTAGATACCTGGCTTCACCTGTCAGCATGCTGCCATCTCTGCAAAACAGGCTATTTCCCCTGCTCCTCAGTCCGTGCTCCCAATCTTGGGCACAGGCATTTCTAGGACCTTTTGTCATGAACCTCACCAGGTGGTTTCTAACACACATGTGAAACAAGAGGCCCTCCCAGTTCACGCCAGGGGAAGGAGGCGTGAATCTGAGGCCCTCAAAGTCAGCCTGGCTCTGTCAGTTCTCAGTGTTTCCTTGGACATGTGACATTTTCTCACTTGGCTCCAATTTCCTAATCTATCATTTGGGGAGAATACTTCTTACATTTTCCCATCACATAAGTATAGGAGGGACAGATGGGTTTCTGGTCACACAAGGGCTGACAAAATATGAAAGCAGAGAAGGAAGGAAGGAACAAGGAGCCAAGAGGGGCTCACCTTGGGGCCAGGCTTGGCCTCCATGGTGGAACTGGTCCCAGCTGTGGACGTCTCACTGACCATGCTGGGCGGTCTTTGGTTTCTCTCTTGCTTCGACATATGTGAATTTGGTCTGTGGAGAAACAGAAGAGAATCCTGTAAGTGCCATGTTACAGTGAGGAGTAGGATGTAAAGTTTATTCCAAGTGAGAACTGATTGCTGGGCGTAGACAACCCAAACCGATTCCAGGCTGCAGCCAGATGTCCAGACCATGATGCTCAGCCTGTCCATGAGCTCCAGGAAACTGAGAGGATGCCAGACTGTCACTCCTCTACCAGCTGACAGGGCGTGGCCATCCCTGCCTGCGGCCCTAAGTTCCCCTCATTCACCCTCCTCGGGCGTTGGCAATTGCCCTGTCAGAGGGAAGGAGTCACATCACTCCTGCCAGGGAGAGCAACCCTTCCCCTTACACATACAGACACACACACCTCCATTCCTCTGGCTCCCCAAAGAAGTGGTTTAAATTTAGTAACAAGAAATCACTTGCGCACACATCCACACCCCCAGACACACACAGAGAATCGCTTACATAAATGCCAGTGGGGCTTGCCTCCCAAAATAGACTACTCAACAAAGAGTCCTATTTTGGGAACACCCAGTAGCCCCAAAATAGAGCCACTGGAGATATTAACCCCTTGTGCCATGCCTGGAGAGCAGGAAGAAATGATGCATGCCTGGGCCCCCAAGGTGGATCTCCTCAGAGCTTCCCTGTCAGCTTCCATCAACAGCATGCTTCCCACCAGAAAGCTCCACTGCCCTGGGGCACCAGAACTCTAGAAACATCTCAGGCTGACACTTGGGAGACACTGGAGAGAACCTTCTCACCTGCCTCCACAGAGCCCCAGCATTCCCCAGTCTTTCACAGCAGCAGCAGTGGCAAAAGTCTCCACACGAATTCAGTACCTAGCCTTGAACAGCTCCATGCCCGCGTGTCAGACCCCGCCAACTCCAGGTTGGATAAGCCTTCCTCACAGCAGAAGGCCCAGCATCTGTGCCTGGGTTTGTCTGCTCCGATGATGGGCAGCCAGAAGAGGCAGCTGCAGTAAACTGAGGCTCATTGCCTGAGTAGAGAAGAATCTGTGTTGATGCCTGAGCCAGGACCCTGAGACGACAAAGATGGAGACTCCAGGTCGAACACAGCTGAGGCAAAAACTGGATGTTGGTTCGCCAGGCTCACTTTTACAACAGTGCTCCGAGAGAGAATGCTAGTTTCCACGTTGGAGATAGGCTCCTTCCTTTAAAATCCACTTTGGCTCAAGGATAAGGGATCCTTGCCACTCCCAAAACAGAGCCCCAATACCTGTACCACTAGAGAAGTTCTCTGCCGAAGTAGCCGTGCCCACCGCACTCCCAGGCCGGGCCCGCTGCAGGACCTCTGCCGTGTGGACACCAGTTTTCCAAGGGGCCCTTGGACGCCTGGCAGCTGGAGGTGCAAGTCCCACGAGGCAAAAAGATCACTGGCTCCTTATCAGCTCAAGCACTCACTCCAGATTCTCCGCCCCCGCCGCCATCCCAGGCAGACTTTTGTTACTGCTCCCCACTCGGAGAATGTCATCACGCTCAGCCAGCTCACTGTTGGCAAAGGCTGTGTGCAGCAGGGAGATAATCGCAGACCGGGGGTGGGAGGGGGCCTGAGAGGCGGCCTTGTCCGGCGCTGCCTCCAGGCAGAACTATGTCCACAACGTCTCCCTGGAACCTGGGCTTGCCTGGCATTTCAGACTTCCAGAGGTTGAGGCAAGGAAAAAGAATCATCTTGGTTACGGTACCTCTAAGCTAAAATTCAGGACCTGCAGTCCAGTAATTAGGAAAAGATTTGTTTAGGATTTCAAGTTTAATTCATTCCCATTTAGGACCTGACTCAAGGCTTATTATAGAAAATTTGGGAAATATAAGGGAGGCCAAGCTGAGAGAAAAGAAAATAAATCACTCGTAATCCTGCCACCCAAAGGAAAAATCATTCTTAAGACTTGATCAATTTACCTTCATTTGTTTTTCTATTATTGCAATCATACTGTGTTTATTATGACTCTGCATCTTCTTTTTATTTTTTTAAAGGAATTAACAGCCAGTTTTATTGGTCTCAGACCAGGAGTCCATGAAGACCTCTGTGAATTTCTCAATTTTCTTCTCCACATTCTTTCTGGCTTGTTTCTATAACCTTCTAAGCAATTTTCCTTCTGGTAAAGGATCGCGGTCTGCTCTTTCCTTTCCTCCTCCAGGATGGCTGTTACTGCCTAATTTCTTCTAGGCAACCTCCTGAGCCAGGTGGCCCAGGTAGGCCAACCTGCACGTAGGCGTCAGACACACAGTCTGGAAGGTAGCAGGAGCCACCTTCTTCTCGTCTTTAGGGTGACCTGGCCTCCCTCAGTTTTGTGGAGTAGCATCTGCAGACACAGCTGGGGTATCTCCCGCAGTCGGGGCTGCACAATGGGTTGGTATATGTCTGCTTGCAGATGAAAGTGAGGCATTTAAAGTTGGTTCTATAGAAATCGTTAAAAATGGGTCCTCCCTGGTGCTGCAACTAGTTAGGAAGTAGCATTGCAAGCTGGCCAGAGACACTTCAGTGTGAGTTCGATCCCCACCCTGGAGGTGACCACATGGCGCAGCAGACCTCTCCTGTCTCACCTGCCGCTCCCCTCAGCAGTATACTTTGTTACTGCCTACTCTGCTCCCGACTCTGTCTCTGGTGCATCCTCTCATGGTCCCTGCACCCCTGGCCTGTACCCCAGTTCTATATGCATAAATAAATAAATATTTTAAAAAAAGAGAATCACTAAAAATGTGGATCCCCCACAGCACAGGGAACATCGCCTTGCATTCCCACAGTATCCACTTGGCTATCAAGGACCACCAGTGGCCTTGATAGGAAATGGTCATGGACATCGAGCACCAGGAACAGCCCCTCTGTCATTGTCAGCAGCTGCTCAATAATTTTACATCTTTATTTTTAAAAACTTACTGAAATATAAATACTTTCTCAATTATTTTAAACTCAGCCAGATCATTGCAGATGAATGTATTGCATTCCATCAACTACATATGCCATTCCTCCTCTGTAGGACAAAGAAAAGCCTATCTGGATTTGCAGCTGGCCTGGGAAGCCCAGGACTGATGGCCACTCTTGACATGTCTGCACGTTACAATCTTCAGTTCTGTCTTTCTCATCCCCTACATCCTAACCCATGTCCCCTCTGCACGTTGGTTTCCAGGATGCTGGGTGACCGTTGTTCCTCCTGAGCAATAGTCGGGGGAAAAAATGGCTGTGCCACAGCCTTGGAGAGGGGAGAAAGAAGCGTGCTTCCACCATCCAGGAAGCCAGCTATGAACAGATGCCAGCTGGAGGTCTAGTTGTAGCCCCCACATTGATCATGTGAGGGGCAGTGGTGCAGAGGCAGGGAAAGAGGAGAACAAATCTCTGTGACAACTCCATTCCTTATGATTACAGGGACCTCTGCTCAGCCACACCCAAGTCCAAACTCAATCTGCTCCAGGGAGAGGACATGTTGTCTCTACAAACAGGAAACATGTCCTCACCAGGACTCCCCTGGGCAGGAACAGCTCCCACTTCAAGCAGTAGACCCCACCATTACCTGGCAGCCAGGTCAGCCTGGCTCTTTAAATGAATGAGTTGTACAGAGGTACCCACTCACCCAGACTATCATCTGCCCTCAGAGAACAGTCTCTCTGAACGTCAGTGTAAGTAACGATCTAACTAGAAGTCATCTGAACACAACTAGTTAATAAAAAACAGGTGGTGAGCATGCTTAGGACACCAACTGGTACCCAAAAACAAGGATATGAAAAAAGTCTCAAAAATAATGTCTTTGGCGCAGGGCTTAAAGTCTCAGTGCTGTCATACTACTACCAGCCATGGTGGCACTACTTCAACCCCCAGTCAGGGAGCTGACCCTGACAAGGCACAGCAGACCTCTGCTGCCTTGCCCACTGCTCCGCTCAGCAGTGTATATCAGTAGATCCACCTGTTCAGCTCCCCATTCTGTCTCCCCACTGCCAGCACCTCTGGCCTGGAACCCAGTTCTGTATGCATAAATAAATACAAATAAATCTTTAATTTAAAAATGTCTTTGCTTAGCGGAAAAACTGGCAGTGGTGATCTGTAGCGGCACTCCCACTAGAAGTCATCTCAGCATACTGTTCTGTGAGCGACAAGCACATCAGTGAGGCATGTGTGTAGCCTCCTGTCCCTTCAGGAAAGGGTCATCGTTCACCTGGATGTGTGTGCATTCTGGCACCCAGGCTTCAGGCTCCTGCAGCCACATCCTCACTCAAAAGCCTGGTGGGTCAGGCACTGATTTGCCCTTGACTCCTCAGACGGAGATATTCTCCTCACAGGTTTCACCCAAGAACCACCCCCTCTCCCAGCAAAGAGCCTGTGCCCCAGAGCTCAGCAACTTGCCCAGCAGCGTGCCCTCAGGTATATGAGTCATTTAGATCTCAGGAAAGGAGACCAAAACACCTGCATGCCTTGAGAAGACAGAGTCTTGGTATCATTATATAAAATCTATTAAGTTAAAAGCCTGTTTGCCGGGTTTCTGTGCTATCTGGATTCCCAAAATACAGTGGGATGATTTGAACAAAGACTTCCTTTCCTTGACTTGGGCTACATGAATGCTGATTATTCTGCTGGAGGGCTGTGGGCTGAAGTTCAAAACAGTGAGCTACAGTTTTAACTCAGTGCCTCCCATCTGACAGGAACAAAAGCAGGTAGGACCAGACAAAAGTCAGTCTGGAGAAGCCCAGCAAGAAAGCAATTTCATTCTATCCTGAACTTCATCAAGGATGTGTCAGGTAAGGCTGGGCAGGAAGTTACTTCCTGTGTCCCTCAATTTCCCCACCGATAAAAGGAGCTGTTTCTGCCTCCTACATATCCAGGATCAAATGTGCAAGACACTGACAGATGCACTAAGGGGAGTTATAAATTCGGAAGTTGTTTTTCCATTTGGTGTGAATCTAGCCAAGTTTGGTTAATGAAACCCTTGGCTGCCTCTCATACAATGTTGGCACCTGGAGTGGACTGCAGGGGTCACAGCAAGACCCTTTCCTGCCCTATGT